GGCCTCCCTCCCCAAGAGTGCCGCCGTCAGGTATCAGCATCCTGACGCGCGTGCGCGATGACGTCATCGCGCACGCGCGTGGTGATGTCACACGCATGTCACACTCGGTTACCGTTCCGGGTGTCACCCAGCCTCGGGACGCCCCTGTATGGAGTGCAGGTGATTTTGTATTATCCATGTTGTTACCTTGTCACACAGGCATATTCACTGCCTGTCCAAATAAAAATTCACCACCTGGATTTAGCTGAGCAAATAGGTCAGAACCCTCCATTGGATAAAAGATCTAGGTTCAGGAACATTATGTGCCCAAACAAATGAGGTCAGCTGCCTACCGGAATACTGTATACTGAATGACCAGGTTTTTCCATCAATGGATTTTTTCTTCCCTGAGGGCACATTGGGCATATTCCAAGATGACAATGCCAGGATTCATCGGACTCAGATTTTGAAAGCGTGGTCCAGAGAGCATGAGACATCATTGTCACACATGGATTGGCCACCAGAGTCCAATCCTTTACCCCATTAAGAATCTTTGGGGTGTGCTGGAGAAGACTACGCAGAGGTCCGAATCTCCCATCATCACTACAAGATCTTGGTGAAAAATGAATGCAAATCCGGATGGGAATAAATGTTGTGACATTCTATAAGCTTATCGCAACGATGCCACGGCGAATGTGTGCCGTAATCAAAGCTAAAAGTGTTCAACCAAATATTACTGTGCGCTTTTTTTTTGGACAGGCACTATATATTAACAAGTTGCATTTAATGATTACACCAACGCCTCATTCCAAAACATTTACTTTGCCAAAAATACATACTGCAGCCCTGCTCATAGCGTGCGATGCACTGGAGTTAGCAATTTTATGCGGCTACCCAGAATCCTCTACCACCGCACCAGCAGAGTACTCTGGGAAAAAAAATGTTATCGTCTGCATTTTTGAAATGGCTCATAAGCAGGCTTTCATTCCTTGTAGCAATGTGTGAAGGGTGCTTAATCGGCCTTCATCTCTTCTCTATAACAGACTT